ACTACCAGTCTCCGCACCCGTTCTAGTCACCAAGTTCCCAAGCGTCCAAATGACAAGGATGTCCTATCCTCAATATCCTTCTGCACCACTTACTAACCACACACTCAATCCTACAAACCAAGATCCATTACCTTGACCCAACGGTCTCTATCAGGTTTCCACTTGCATTACCATAAACACACAGGCCTCACTCTGGGGTCCCACCGAAACTATACCATGGAGATGCCTCGCCCACAAGTCCCACCTATCTAGAGCTACACATGCCCGACTCCTCCTTGGACCCCAATGGTTCTCATCCTAAAACAAAGAAATGCTTCCTGATAATCCTAACCATTGTGCCTAAGGCAATAACGGATCTCCTTTATACCTTTGATAGCCTACCTCAAAGTAGTGAATGCTACGATCCCAATACAGACTTACTATATCAACTCGATCCTAGTACATATTTAAATTCAAGTATTTTGGTATTCTACTATGGGACTCGGCGAGTTGGAGGCCCAACTCGTCGAGTAGACTCGACATTATGCAGGGGTTTTATTGATCTACTCGACGAGTCGGGGGATCAACTTAACGAGTAGGAGCTATCTAGACAAAACCCTAATGTTTAGGGTTTGCATCCTATTTAAACACTTTATCTCATCCCAAACCAGCCTCCATCACCCCTCCCAACTCAGAGAAACCCTAGATTGAAACCCTGACCTTGTTTGAGTGATCTTGAGCCATTTTTGTGTGTTTTGTGGTGGTTTGAAGTTTGAAGAAGAGAAGGAAGCATGGAATATCAAGAGAAGACTAGTAGATCTAGAGGTTTTTGACTTATTTCCATCCCATTCAAGGTAAAAGGATTCAACTTTGACTTCTCATTTGATAGATCTCCTCCAATGCTTAGATCTTATCATTTTGGGTCATTTCTAAGGCCATATTCGGATTGAGTGTATATCATGAAATTACACTTCAAATCTTGAACCATTGATAGTTCCCATGGCATAAAGGTGCCAAATTTATAGCCATGGGAAGCCCATGCATCTTATAGGTTCATACAATGCATGGATTTCATATAAGCATACAAAGGCATCTCTCTTAGATCCTTAGCTATAATCTAGCATGCGAATCACATAATCATATCATATCCCATAACAAACATGTATTGGTATTTTGGGAACCACTTACTTGAGCTCGGCCGATTGCACGCATCACACCCCTTTCTTTTCAAAGTTCTTTTCTCTTTCCAAATTCCTTTCAAAATTCTTTTATAAAAATGAATTTTCTTTTGCAAATTTTCATACCAAGTCCTCAGTTTGATTCCAGACACACCCGGGAGTGTGTTCGAATCCCTCAAACCAAGGCTCTGATACCAACTTGTAACATCCCAAAATTGAAGGCCAAAAATTTTATTTTAATATAAGAAAACCTTTAATAACTTTGTTCCAGACATTGAAAACATTTCAATTAAAACAAATATTATAGTCTAATCCCAAAAGGTCACATAATGCGGAATAACATGGGTGAATGCGATGCGATCGTTCCGAGCTCCTTATTCTTGAAAACTGAAAATACATGAAACCAAAACTGTAAACCGTAAGCATGAAGCTTAGTGAGTTCCCAAAATACCACATAATATACATATGAACTGGGCCATACATGCCGTATATATTGTGAGTCGTACATATCAAACATATCCATAATCAAGTAATGTGTTATGTGCCAAACATAGTCTTGTCGTTATGTCACAGGCCGCACGTGGTCTTTCTTGCCAAGCCTGGGGCCACCCCCTCGGTCTTACACACAAGTGCCAAGAGTCACCTCCTGGTCTTCCATGCAAGCATCACAAAGAAAACTAGCATACATACTAATCTACTTAACTAATCAACATATAGTGTGCTAGGAGCCACATCTTGGTCTTTCATACATAATGGCATACAGTGTGCCAGGATCCACCTTTGAGTCTTTCATACATTTTTCCTAGGGCTAACCCCCGTGTATTGCTACCATACATAATAACATACTGTGTGCCAGGAGCCACCTCCTGGTCTTTCATGCATAATGCCTAGGGCTAGCCCCTAGGTCTTCCTATCATACATAAACTAAATGGGTTAACATTGATGCCTTCGACCCATACAAACAGTGCAGAGACTTACCTCTCAAGCTGATTGTAGAACTCTGTGAATAAACCTCTCGTTGTTAGCTGGCGGATCCCCGAACTGCTGGTCTCTCGATTCTCCGAGCTACCATTACCCAAAATGACAATTAGTCCAAATCAATAATCCTCCTTAGGGTAAAAATAACCATTTTACCCTTAGTATAAATTGGTCCATATCTAAGGCCCAAAGCCATTAATACAAAAGGCCCAACACTAGGTAGGCTTGCCAAGCCCACTAGTGGCCCACTAATAGCCTAATTTGCTAAATTGGGCTCAATCCCTTTGATGGGCCTTACCCTAAGCCCAAACATATTCTTAGCCCAAAACATCTGACTTCTGATGGCCCACTAAGACCCAAAGACCCAAAGTCCACTGCTTGGCCCAACCCAAGGCCCAAAACACACCAAACCCATAACTAATGAGTACATAGGGCGTACTCCTTTGTACGCTAAGCGTACTGGCTGAAGGTGGTCTACGCTGCACGTACCTACATGTACGCCTAACGTACTCTTCTGTTAAGCTACTTTTCCCATTAAGTGCTTAATACTCTACTCCGGAAGCTACAATTAAGTCATCTTCAACGTCTTAATCCATAAAGTTGATTACTTGGTGGCTTGCAACCCACCAAATGAGCCTAAACTTGAAATGTGACAACAAACTTCCATGGAAAGGGCTAGATCTCATGGATGGTCACAAATAAACCCTAAAGATTGAAACTTTACTGCTTATGGGACTCACATGACTCTAAGGGTGGCAACCGTGGACCTGGAAAACGAGTTGAGTCATCAAGGTTCATTATTGGGACCTAAAAGGTCCAAAAACTCCATTCACATAGATTTAAGCATACTTGAGGAAAGTTTCAGACTTTATACTTCAAGATGATCTGAAATGGAACCACAATCTTGGATCTACTGCTTCTCCTTTGATCCCCCACCTTGCTATGCTCTTCACTTGCTTGGAAAATGGGTCTACAACCCCAAAATGATCTCTAATGGCCTTCTTAGCTCCAAGAACACTCAAAGAAGATTAGGGTTTCATGAAAAGTGTTTAAGGGTGAGAAGGAGGTTGATCCTTGAGGGTATAATGTTCTTTATATAGTGACATACACTAAAAATTAGGGTTTAGGGACTTTGAGCGTACACTCAACATACTTCTCGTACGTTGGACGTACGTCTCTCCACACCCACATCCATATAACCTTATACGTTAGGCGTAACCCAACTTACGCTAGGCATACCCATCTAAACACACACATGCATTCCTTGCATGCATGGGGCCGCCTTATCACAAAACTCCATTAGGGGCTAAAATTTACCACAACTACAAAGTGCCATAACTCCTTCATTCTAAGTCCGTTTCCAACGAACTTTATATCCATGAAAAAGGTGGCGGGAAGCCCTACGCTCCTAGCCACAACCCTAATCCTAAAACCTTTCGGATAAAACCCGAGACCCATAAAAGACCGAATTGCCCCTACCCTTTGGCTTCCGAGACCACAACTAAGTACTTTCAAAACCGGGTGTTACAATGTGTTTATTCTTATCTGGTTAACGACTACTTAGCAAGGCTTTTAAGTTTGAATTGTTACTTCTAGAAGAAAACTAACAATCCAAATTGCGGGGACTTAATAATGTATAGTCTAGCTTGAAGCTACACCCATACCCTCACTATACTGAACTAAATATGTACCAAACTAGAAATCTATCAGACCAAACATAAACCAAATCTTGTGCATACTGATGCATGGGAATCAAAGAAAACAACTTGTATTATGATGCATGGCAGATGGATCCTTTGACCAATGAGAAACAGATGTTAAATGACTAGTAAGTACATGAAAGTGTACCTTCAGGGCATATGACCATTAATACGATAAGATGGCAAACTTGCTCGGTACATGAAGAGGTCACAACCACCTAACATTGACTATAATTAGGCGATGAGAATCACTCTTCAAGGTACATAACTATATACACATCATATTAATTCTCATTCTGACTCACAATAGAGCTTCTTAAGATCGCTTATGACTTTATCATCAGAGCGTTGGTTCGGGATCCCCTCACGGCCGATTAGCTTACGAGTTGTTTGTTGTCTCCAAGTTGAATAAGGTGAGAAAGAATTGTAAACTCTCGTGGGCTCAACATTACCTATCGGGTGTACAATTTCTTTTAACTTGAACGCATCATCATCATTTAAATCTAACCCGACACGAGCATCGGAAAAAGTTGTGTATCCACTTGATGTCGTTTTGTTCTTTCTCCTCCTTCTCCAAGTAGTTTGGCTTCAAATTCTTTCCATTTTAGACTATGCGATAACACTAATTTCCAAAATTCATTAATCTTGAACGGTTTTTCCAGTGTCCTCACAATACAAATTATACGCCTCTTGAAGATTTTCTTCATCACTTTGACCGCTTCCCCTTTGAATTTTTAGGTTGTTGTATACCCCGTTCATCTTCAAAACATTCTTCGTAGATTCTCGAAACTTTGAAGTTAGTTGGCGTTTAGTAGTTTAGTTATCACAACCCTCATTTCTCTACGAAATCTTTCAGTAATGCGTAGCAAAAAATGATCAATCAATCGTGCATTTCTTTGCTTTGCATCCTCCGGTCGGATTTTGGGGTTGTTGGCATTCATTTTTGTTGTTTAAATGAATAAAACAGAGAGGAAAAGATAAAAGACGAAACTGCACACAAAAGACATCAAGAATGTAGTGTTCTTGATCCCGTTCTCGTCTATCTGATAAATATTTTTAAATTTGGGGTCTTCTTTGTTGTTTTCCATTACAGTGGGGACTAAATTTAAAAAATTTCAAAGTCAAAATGAAAGCAAAAGGTATATACAAGACAATTCCTGGCTACCGGACTGATTTCTGATTATTGCGAGAGGAAATGGGAACGAGAACGAACTTCTACAAGAACCCTTCTTTTACATATAACAAAGATTTCGACCTCAACTCAGTTCTTCAAAATCTAAAAGGTAACAAAAATCCCAACTTTATGTCTTCAATTGCACACAACACGCAATCGTTCTGCTGGTTTGAGGATTTTTATTATTTCAATCTCACAGCTTATAATGCTGCCACCGGAAATCCAACTCCGCCGGATGATGAAACGGTCTCCAGCAAGGGAAAAGGCCTCTTACAATCTAACCGCTGCAAGCGGCGGAGGATTTCACCTTCCATGGCTAAAAGAGACGAAACTGAAGAAAGTGATGGACCCATGTCTCACCATGATTATATTCAGAAAATTAGGTGAATTTGTTGTAATTTAGAAAATAATATTCAAAACCTTATGTGGTGAAATTTAGGGCTCTTATTTGTTTGTGTCGACACAGGAAAGAAGCTAATTCGATTGAAGCCTTTGAGGAATTAACTAATAAAGTGTTGGTACACTCCACTCCATATCATATTTTTCATAATAAAATAATTCTGTGATCTGATTTTCAATTTGATTGCAGGAGGGCGAGGGTTCGGCCTCTGGTGGACGATTGGTGTTGGGGTATGACAGTAAGTTTTTTTGATGACCAAAAATACAATTTCAATATGATTATCACATTAAGTATTATGGGTTCTTAAACAATTTGTCCATGTGTGTTTGTCTTGCTCCTTTGTGTTCTACAAAACACAAGGGAACACAAATATTGAAGTTGTAGTGATATTATGTTCAAACAACAGCTGCCATATTTTCTTCTTCTTCTGTGTGATAAATGGCTTACAAGTCTGTTATATAACTTTGTTATATATATATATATATATATATATATATATATATATATATATATATATATATGTATTATAGGTGATGCAAGTAGTGATTTCTCAGAAAGAGAAGAAACCAAGGATCCTCTTCCTGAAAGTGCTGGTTGGTTATTGTCTCTTTGTTTTAGCAATCAATTAAGCTATTGTGCTTATTGTTTTGAAATCTGAACTAAGTTTGGTCTTTTTTTTAGGAAATACAAACAGTGGCAATGATGTAATAAAGGAAAGAAGCTCACAGAGGTTTCCTATTCCTGGAGAGCCTGTATGTGTGGTGTGTGGCAAATATGGGGAATATATATGTGATGAGGTGGCTTCTAATTCTATTATCTATACACATTAAACAGGAAACCTAATTTCTTATTATATTAGTATATTAAAAGTAACCAAAGAAGTAAGAAGGTCTTTTCTCTTTTGATCCTATTCCTACCAGACTGATGATGATATCTGCAGCATGGATTGCAAAGCTGAGCTTTTGGACAATCTAAAAAATTCTCAGGTTCATATGATAAAACTTAAAACGTCAAATCCAATCCACAACTTTTTCAAATTCAAAACCAATAATTGGGACATTTGTAGGGGCCTCCAACTCCAAGCAACCAAATATTAGTCAAGGGACCTAAATTTCAATTGCAACTTTCTGAAACTGACACTTGGGATTTCAACCGTCATCGCTGGTCAACAAACAGATCTATTCTATCTTCATATCAATGGTAGTTGCTTCCATTCATACAAATACAAACATTTGTTGTTAAATCTTAACGAAAGTACTAAATATATGTTTATTATTATTTCTAGTTGGAAATGTAAAAAAGCCGGTCATCTTGCTGAAGATTGTTTAGTCATCATGGAATCAAATCCTGAATCTCAGGTATGTTTTTCATGATAAATCTTGAATCTTGCTGAAGTGTGTATGCTAACGTTTGAGCTCATTAAATTAAACTGCTTGTTTTCTAAGCAGGCATCAAGTGTTATACCTAGGGATCTTCTTGAACTATATAAAAGGTTGTGTGTGTGTGTGTGTGTGTTTTCTTTTGTTGTTGCTTCAAGATATTTACATAATAAAGTGGTAAAATAATCAAGTATTTCATTTGATCTTGTTGACCATATATACCTACGTCTGTGTTTCTTTATGTGCAGATGCCACCAAATCAGCAAGAAATCCACAGGGGCCGGATGTAATGCCTGCAATAGTTTGTCTACTTTGGGGGCCTGCCTTGATTGTAGAATAACATTATGTGATAGGTAACCAACTTTCCTTTTTAGACCATTTTTCCTAATGCATACATATATATATATATATATATATATATATATATATATATATATATATATATATATATATGTATATACAGATATTATTATGATTTAGTGTTTAAAACAAAAGTAATTCTTCCTTCACATGTTGAATTCCAGTGGAGGGCATGTGGTGGAGCATATCCAAACACACCCTTCCCATACCAAGTACTACTCTTTCAAGCTCAACCGTCTTGTGAGTATTCTTAATTTCCCATGTTTAAATAATAATAATAATAATATTTTGAGAATATTATTACATCATGCATCTTTTAGGCTAATAATATATATATATATGTATGTATAAGGTTAAATGCTGTAAATCAAGTTGTAAGGTGACTGATATAAAGGATCTTCTTGCTTGTCACTTTTGCTTCGATAAAGCATTTGACAAGTTTTATGACATGTACAACGCAACCTGGTAAGTACATTTTTATTTTTTGTTTTGCTTTAAAAATGTTGTATAATCTTCAATATGATGATGAAGGAGTTTTTTTTTTTTTTTTTTTTTTTAAAATCTTTGAATTATAGGAAAGCAGCAGGAATTTCTATCATCGCTGGCTCCATTTGTTGTGAAGATCACTTTGCTTGGTATGGTTATGGTTTCATACAACATTTTGCACAATAATTAATGTTTTTTTTTTTTTTTTTTTTTAAAAGAAAATTTGCATTAATGTTACAACAGGCATCGGATGAATTGCTTGAATGCGGGCGTGGAAGATAGTGCCTATATTTTTAAAAAGCACAACATGCACATGGGGAGTCAGAAGCGATCTCAGTTGAGTGATTTCATTTTCTAAAACCATTCAGGAATGAAATGGACAAATGGTGTGGATGTTGTAATATTTTAGAGAAAGAGTTAATTGAAAGAGAGAATTTTGATACTCTTATTATTTTGGATCCAAAATCAAATATTGAACACCGAACTAGTCCTTAATTTTGAACGTGGATTGATTCTCTTATATATGTATATGTTTGAAATCCAATCAGTTTGATTTCCATTCATTTTAGTGTATCTATGTGTTATACACTTTATGAATATATATACTAGAGAGAATACTACTTAACTAATAAATGTCTAAAAAGAACGGCAACAAGATAAACATGGTCATATGACAATAACAGAATAACAAAACAAAAGGCTAACTTGTTTACTACAATTTCAAAATTTTTACTAGACTTGTAATTAAACAATGGCTACACAACAATGAATATTTGAAGATCAAGAGAAGTCTAAAACAACAAACACGGTTAACATTAAGATTCTAAAAGTCTAGAGTTATCATTAAATAATTTTTTAATTTTTTAAAATATACATGAATAATAGATAAAGTAGACATCTTAATAATGAAACATATTGAGACGTTAAAAATACTAAAATGAAAAGAAAAAAAAGATATAATTTAATTATTCACTTTAGTTGGTTAACAAAATTCAAAGTTTGAAATAAAAGACCGAATCAAATAAGATTTCAGAAAATCACTCTAACCGAAAACCAAATAAGATAACCATATAAACCAAAATTTATTTGTTTTGGATGATTTATTCGATTTTGATTTTGTGTGTTTTTTTACACATCTACTCTTCCCCAGTAAGATTGGGATGATTGGAGGGGAAAAATAGAAAGAGAAATTAAATATCTTCCTACCATTTGTTTCTATTTTTCTTTTTACCGTATCAAATGTTGATATGTGTCACTTTTAATTACACATTTAATGAAATTAATAATCATTTAATCCACTTGTCAACATTTGATAAGGTAGGAGGAAAAGTAGTAACAAATGGTAGGCGGATATTTAATTTCTCAAATAGAAAATGACGACCGTACCCTTGAAACGTTCTGAATAATCGTATGCGAACTACTCCTATCATGCTTCTTCCCAAATAATCTTCTTCGTTCTGCCTCCGATTTTTTCTTCCTGCGTCTGCGATTCTTCTCTGCATCACCAGGTAAACTCGATTTCCTTTTTTGGCAACCCTTTTCTCCTTCCTGCATCATCGACCCTTGCGGGAATCTTGGCTGCAAGTGGTGAACCTGATCTAGAATTGTAAATATTTGATTTTTGGTTGTGAACCTGATGAAGAATCGTCTATGATTTCCTTTTGACCTGATGAATTTTTTTTATCGAGTCTTGATGACGAATTGATAAATGAGAATTGTGAATATTGAATGACCTAATTTGGAATTTAACCTAAGATTCGCTTCTTTGTTTGGAAAGCATGGGAGGACACGGAGGTCTGAATATTCTCCCTCAGAAACGTTGGAATGTGTACAATTTTGATAACCGAGAAAAAGTTCGCCAAGACGAAGAAGCGGCGGCCAAAGAAGAGCAACTCAAGCGCGAACAATCTCGCAAGCGCGACACCGACTTCCGCGTCGAACAGCTACGCCAAGCCCGCGGATTGGCTTCGGTTTCAGCTTCCTCACACCAATCCACCGCAGCCGATCCAGCACCCACACCCACACCCGAAGCGGAGCCAAAGTCAAAGCATATTAACTTGTTTGAAGGAATCAGGATATTTGATCCGGTTGATGTTGATAATAAGAAGAAGATTGAATTAGGGGATGAGAAAAGGAAAGGGGGATTCAAGAGGATGAAGAAGGAGGCCGAGCCTCCAAAGGTGGTTTTGCCAGAGGATGAGAAGTATAGGTTAGGGTATGGAGTGGCTGGAAAAGGCGTAAAGCTACCATGGTACTTGGAAAAACGCCCAAATGGTGATGATGATGTCCATAACAATGATTCCCAGGAGACAGTAGTAACTAATAGCAGTAAAAAGAAGAGTGTTGAGGAATTACGGGAAGAGAGGCTGAAGAGGGAAGCAAGAGAAAAGGAAAGGGAACGAGCTTTGATGCAGAAACACAAGCACAGGAATGATAGAGGAGGATATTATTCAACAAGGTAAGCTAAGGGTGCTTTTTAATATGTTTGTTTCAGCTTATCAACATGAACTGTATGCGATAGATAGATAATATCATATAAGAGGTAATAACAGATTTTTTTGAATTGCCCTTAGTAAGTTCCAACCTCAAAATTGTAAGTTAACTTTTTTAAAAGCTAGATACAAATTTGACAATGAAAACTAGTGAATAAAAAAAAGTATTGTAGATTGACTGGGTGGTTCCTATGTTAAAGTTAAAACATTTTGTTTGAGGGAAAAAGAATCCAATTCCACCACGATCCGGTGTTTGGTTCAACGATGGAATTGGAATCCTAAATGGGAGAAAATACTTTCCTTCAAATGGGAAGAAGCTGATGGAATTAAAAGGAAAATGAAAGATTATCGTTACGCCCTTTTATTTTTGACAAAACCTATCTAAAAAACCAAACCCTATCTCACGTTCGTTTAATTGCTGAATGATTGAGGGTTGTTGTTTTTCTTGAATCGATTTCTGTGTCCTCCAAAAGATCCAGAGCTGAATGTCCACGAACAGTAGTAATAGTATGTTATTATTATTCAAAAATAAAGTTTACCAAAAACAAAGAATCAAAAAAATTTGTAAGATGGATTCTGTTGAAAGCTAAGCAATATCAACATCAGAAACAAATTTGACCTGCAATTCACCATTGGCAACAGTATTAATAATATATCATATCACATGAGAGCGAGAGCTCATTGATTAACATTTGACTTTCAGTGTTAAATACAATTACAATTCCAATTCCTGCTCTTGTGATTTTGGTATTCAGAAACCTTCCATTAGGTCAAGATATGTAAGATTGTTTATATACAACCAAGTTGAGGTCACTCGGAATACGATGTAAACTAAAAATTTCAACTTAATTATAAAAACCTATCAACTTAAAAAGAGATAATCAGTAGTTGTAGCCAATGGAGAATCTCACAGTCGATCATTTAGCTTGTAATAGCAAAAGTTGAGAGTATAGGCAGGCTGATAGTTATGGAAAGATGCATTGACTTGGCTCCATTCTTGTTATGCTTTGCACATGAAGATAGATAAATTAAAACTTAAATGGCAAGAAAGACTATGGTCACATCAATCAATAGTAAAATTGAATATGAACTGTTACATGTGTCACTTGGTAAGTTATTCAGAAAAGGCAAACTATAAAAATATAGGGTGATAACAGATACGAGTTAAAACTTGCAGCAGGGAGTGAAAATGCTTGAGTGAAAGGTAATAAAGAAAGGTTAAAGAGGATCTGGGGAAGGCTTCGTCCAAATTGAGTCTCTTTTGATTTCTTAAACTGCAAGTGAAGTTTATATAGAGGGGTGGAATTGGAATTAAACAAGTGAAGTTTATATATATAAGTGAGTAAAAGTGAAATAATATATATACAAGTGAGTAAAAGTGTGATAAAAAGTGCTTCCATTTGTTGAACAAAAGTGGTAGTGAGCTATGTGTTTCTTGCAAACAATGGAGATGTTGGTCCTTTATATACGTGATCAAATGTAGGGTTAACCTAATCAGATAAATGGTCAGGGGAATTTGCTGTCTGTCCAAGGGGTTTTGATATTTAGAGGCAATATACTCGATCTATTTTATCTTTTCAAATTATAATGATTCTAATTGATTATAAATTGTTAAAATGTGTAAAAATATTATTTGGACAATTAGGATATTTTAATTTTTAAGTTGGACAAATATGATATTTTGATTTTAAGTTGGATAATTATAATATTTTGTTGTTTAAGAAGGGTATATATGGAATTATCCATTTTTTCTAAACCATTTAAGCTGCCTAATTTGGTCAAAACTAACATCATTGCAAATCTGCCAAATAGATGAGAGATGGATGTGGTAGCTGATAGAGATCGGAAAGAACAGTTAATTATATATACAATTAAAAAGGATAAATATGATATTTTGATTTTAAGTTGAATAATTATAATATTTTATTGTTTAAGAAGGGTATACATTTTTTCTAAACCATTTAAGCTGCCGAATTTGGTCAAAACTAACATCATTGCAAATCTGCCAAATAGATGAGAGATGGATGTGGTAGCTGATAGAAATCGGAAAGAACAATTAATTATATATACAATTAAATTACAACATTCTTATGAACAGTACCCAACCCTGGGTACTGTTCATCGGATTAGTTTGTCAACCATGATTAGTTTAACCCCTTCTACCTACCGTTCCTTCTTTCACCGCTTCAGATACATCTGCTTCTTCATTCTTTATATTCGGCAATCTCCACCGCGCAATCACTCCACCGATCACTCAAAACCTTCACCAGCATGTTCGGTCCTAAATCACTGTCTCCGGTTTCCTTTATTTGGCATCGTCTCGCTTGCCGAGGGATTCCCTTAAATCGTATGTCGCTCGCCCATGCTTCACCGGTTCCACTCTCGTCTGTCGATTCGTCGGCTCACATAATGATTTTTGGAGTGTTGGTCGACTGGTGGGTGGTAGGGTTTTTAGGAAGATTGATATTGGGTCGGCTGACTTGTCGGTTCAGATACTGGTACCGAAGAGAAATCGATGGTTTAAAGATTTATGTTTAATCAATTGTTCTAGGGTTTGAAAATTTCCGTCGCATCTTGCACTCTTCATTATAGTAACTCTCCAAGAACTTTTCCGGCTCCTCCAACTCGTGGCCCAATTGGACAAATCGGTTGGTCGTTAAATCAGGGAAAACTTGAAGGCGACCACCACCGCCCCAGCCACGACCACCAATGTCGCCTCTCAACAATCTGCTTCTTCTTCTTCTAATACGGCCTCGGTCTCAAAAATTTCTTCAAAACCCCCCAAAGGCCGTTACAAGCTTCATCAAGACAAAACACATCCTTCTTCTCCCCTTCCCTATGCCTTCGCCAAGTCCATCACTCAGGTAATCAATTCTCCTTAAAACGCACTTGTGACTTCTCTCAGTTCAAATGATATAGACTATTACTTATTTGTTAATCGTCATTCATATAAGCTGATGTTGAAATCAAAATTAGGTATAAATGTTTGATAATTGATAGTAATAACACAAACCCTAGCTTACCTTAATTTAATTTCTAATCTATCGCCATGAACATCAATTGGATCAGTGGATAAACATATTTTTTTTTCACTCTGTTTAGATAAAATAGCACACATCAAAGACCAACCAGTTCAAGCAGCAACAAACATTGCTTTACAGCCTAACTCAAGCTATAGTGCTGCAAGCAGTGGAGTTAGATATGAGACATCATTGTTTTTAGGAAGCAGTGGCAATGGCAGCCGAATAAGAAAAGGTAATCTTGATTTTTTATTTTTGTTTCTTCAAAGTTAAGGATCAAATTAACATGCATAACATGTTCCAGGATCCAATAAAATCAATCACCTTTGGTAACTCAAATCCTACCTGTCATGCATATGGTTCCAAAGCCAAAGAAAGGCATGATTTACTAATTGGGTTAAACTCGGGAGATGGTATTCTTTCCCCAAATTCTCCATTTCAAATGGATTTATACATAATTTTTACACTAAAGTAATCACCTTCTTCACTTTTAGCAAATGTTGGGAAGAAGTTAGTTGGTGCTCATCATTACAACAAAGATGGAACCCTTAACTACAGGTAACATATCATACATATCAGATGAGATACAATCTCTTTTTGGTTATTTTGACCTTATAAATATAAACCATATTTATAAGTAATTTTCTCAAAAATATGGTCCTGGTGACTTGACATTTCCTGTAGTCAAGGATCAAACTCAATTCTCTGTTGCACATGCAAGTTCTAGAAATGTACATAACTAACCTTTTTGTAGTCAAGTATATCAGTTGTACATTCGAGAGACATTGGAGTATATTTCAGTACTCAATATAATGCCAGTATGGAAAAATAGTCAGTTTACTTGGTTAGACCAAAGCCATAAAAAATGGAACCACGACTGCAAGTTGCACAAAAAAAAAAAAAAAAGGGAGAACCTGCAAAAAATGGTATATTAGATTGACAATGTAACTATGTTGTTTGCGCTTGAATTTACATTATAACTATCGATTTTCTCAACTTGATATGCTCTTTCATGTCCTAAATCCACATTTAATGAATATTGTCTCTAATTCACATATATTCACACATCATCCCACTTTGACTTTATGCCATTTTAAAACTCTATAATTTCAAAATCTACCGCTTACAAGATCTATCTTTATTATTTTTCTTTTTAAAGAAGTGTACTTTAAAAAACAAGCAATTATAACAGCCTACTTTCATTTTAGAATTTTTTTTAAAACATTGGAATTTGGAAATCTAACAATCACAGCATCCTACTTTCTTTCGACTTAAACTTGATTTTGATAAGGATGCTGCTATTTATTTGGCTCAATCAAGATGTTTGAATTTGTTAATATAATTTGAATTATTTATTGACTGATGGTCGATTTCAGGAGGGAATAATGCCAATGGACATGAAGTCAAAGTTTATTGAATCAGAGTATGAGATGGTGGTTGACTTCTACATATGTTCTCAAGTGATGTATTTGTTCAAATAATCTCAAGTTTTTTTATGCAAATGTTGATGAAAATTAAAATATATCATTTTTAATGGACCATATATTTTTTTTCCTGTTAATCCTATTGGATTTGTGTCTGTTGTCATGGATGGTGATACACTGCTTTGCATTGTATGTTTCTGCTATGTAATTCACATCCAATCCATGCAAAGTATGGGCACCTACACTAGTTATGATTAAGAAAGGGTCTTAATTATTATTATTTATGATAATTGAAATTAAGCAAATAGACAAAAAGTGCAATTATGTTATTTTATATGTATTTCAATTTTTTTGTGAACCAAACAGAATTTAAAATTAATTCCAGTTTTATTTCTTACTAACCAAACATGATATGAAATTGAATTTAAATTTCTGACAAATTCATTTTCCAATTCTAATTTCAATTTCTTCATAAACATTTTACGAACCAAACAATAGCTTTGAATGGAATGGAATGGCGGTATATGGTTTTAGCGATGACTAATGAGAGTGTTTTTGCACCATAAGTCAAAAAGATTATGGCTAGGTGCATGTCTATCTCTCTTTCTCTTGGGGAAGTTGATTATGATGATGATCTTGACATGACATGTTCCTCACTTGTTCTTGTAATTGCTGGAGGTAATTGTATGGACTCACCTCTCAAGTATGTATGATGGATGGTATAAGAGCTTGGTGCTAGTAGAATTTTCATTATTTATTTGTTCACACAATTAACACATACATATATACTGACTACACACCCATAAAATGATGAACATTATTAACATATAGTTAAAGTTCAAAATTATGATTTAAACAAATCGATAAATAAAAAAACAAATAATCTAGGATGTAGTCTTGCTATTAATCGTTATCTTCCAAAAATTAAGTATTTATTGTCATTTTAATGTTTCCAAAATTTTGTGACATGAAGGTCTAATTTTTAATTTTAGGCTATGAAATGTGATTTATTATTAGCATTTTCTTCATTTCTGTTTTAAAATAATATAGAATATAATATATTTTGTTGATTTCGAATTTCTAAAATATCCGAAAATTCAAAAAAACAACTATCCGAATACGAATCCGAAAAAACGGATATCCGAAAATCCAGATATCTAAAAATTCAGATAATTTCAATTTGGATTTTCAGCTCGGATTTACGGATATATATATATATATATATATATATATATATATATATATATATATATATACACACACACACACACATATATATATATATATATATATATATATATATATATACACACACACACACACATATATATTTTAACACACCTAATGGCAAGGGAATGGGGGAGAAGAGAGACAAGAGAGGCATGAATGAGAGAAAATAGGAGGAGAAGGAAGATGTCGAAGAAACTGAAAACAACATGGGAGTGCCAAGCTTGGCATGTTGAAGACTTTCGTTTTGGAGGCGGGGAGGTGTGGGGCTCGGCAAAAAAATGCTACATTATCATTGTTATGACAACAGCCCCCGACCTAACAAAATATGTCAGATCATCGATAAAATCGAGAAAATTCTTTGTAGTCGTTTAAAAAATCTTATTTTCTGTATTAAATCATAACCAATCATATATATAATTAAATAAAAAACATATGAAACTGTAACGTCCCAAAAATACCAATAAAAAATTCATTTTAAACCAAAGAGTCATACAAACATTGGTTCCAAATCCAATCAATATCAATTGTATTTTCAAACATCAGAGTATATCAAAAGTAATCAATGCGGGAAAAGCCATCGACAAATGCAGTGTAGTCAAGCCGGACCCTTCCCTTTAGAACTGAAAATACCTGAAAAATATTTAAATCATAAACCATAAACACAAAGCTTAATGAGTTCCTTAAAATACCACATATCATACATATAATACAAAATGTTATGTGTCATTCATAGTCTTACAATCATTATCATGCCATAAGCTACATCATGGTCTTTCTTTCCTATGCCAAGGGCCAAAACCCAGGTCTTACTAACAAGTGCCAAGAGACACCTCATGGTCTTCCATGCAAGCATCACATGACAACTAGCATCCTACATATAACTGCTAGGGTTCAGACCCTGGTCTTCCATATAATTTCTAGGAGCCACCTCCGGGTCCTTCATACAATTGCAAGGGACACCCCCTGGTCTTCCTACATGGTATAGTGAGAAGACTCACTTGACTCACAAAATTGACTAAAATTCAGCTTAATGCCATGCCGTCCTCGACTATTAGATTTCCCCCAACCAACGAATGGGTGCTAAACACCTCATAATAATCCATACAAGGTAAACCGTAAGTCTACCTTCTAAAGATAGACATTTGGCCAAAATTCAACCCATGCCAAAAGTCAATGGTCAAGGTCAAACTCAGAAACCATCAATGCCAACCATCTATGAGGGTAGAGATGAGGACGTGGAGAAGACAATGTTCCGAACTCGTTGTGGTCATTACGAGTTCGTGGTGATGCCGTTTGGGCTCACCAACAAACAAACGACATTCATGGATTTAATGAATCGGGTATGCATGCTGATGCTTGATCGTGTTGGAATAGTATCTAAGGCTGCAACTATATTAGGCAAGTATTTGACCCGATTGTGCATGGTCCTTTTGGGTTGCCTTCACCATAGCAACTTGGTAGGATGATTTATTATGAGAGAATAGATATTATTAATATATTATGAGAATAATATAAGGAATAATAATACTATTATTTGATTAATATAAGTCATAGATTAATTAGTATTAATTTGGTGACTTAGAGAGATTAATTAAATAAGAGGGTATAAACTGTCAATTGTTTGATAGTTACACTTTTGGCTGTAAATCCTTATAGGATATAGGATGGACGATTTCTAGGGCTAGGATAAGCCTCAAAATCATCCAAGGCATATCTAAGGAAAGGGTTAGGATTACTTAGAGTCTAAGTTATCTAATTAGGGTTTAAGGGTAAAACCTTAGGAGCCTTACAAGTATAAATAGACCCCTTGGGATAGGGAAATCGGACCTCCTCTACAGCAAGGATACCCTGGCCGATTTCCTCCTCTCTCCTCCCTCTCAAATCATTCTCTTTGCTAGTTGGTGTTTGTAAGCCATTAGAGGAGTGACAATTGTGACTCTAAAGCTCCAAGAACAAGAAGATCAAACAAGTGTTTCAAGGTATGCTTCTAACTCTGGTTTTGTATTGTTCTTATACCTAATTAGCCATTAGGAGTCTTGGATTCAATGCATGTTTAATTAGAGAAACCTAGATCCAAGCATTAGGGTTTGTATGCGCACATAGGAATGTTCTTATGTACAAAACCCATCAGTGGTATCAGAGCCTAGATTGGTTTCTATTAAATTGATGCTTGATTGTTTGAATGTTAACTGCAAAATTCGATTTTTGTGTTTCTGAGTCATGGACTCGGCGAGTCCCATAGTGGACTCGGTGAGTTGGCCTGACTCGGCGAGTCCAGTTTGGGTACTCGGCGAGTCCGAGCGTCAGGAAGAGCCAAAATCGGGATTTTTTCATATTTATCTTATGGAAACTTACCTTTATCATATTAGATCAACCCAAATCCGATTTTATGATATATATGACTATATTTTTGATCTAATTGAAGATATTTATCAATTAATAAAATATTTAATTTCCTTATATGATAATTATTAATTATTTTGATTAAATTGGTAAATTGTTTTTCAAGAAATCATAAATAAATCAAATATGGATAATTATGTGATTAATTGTTAATTTGAATTATTTGATCCTTTATGTTTTAAATGTTTAAAAAACTTGCCCTCAAGTTTTGAAATTTATGTTTTGTGATTAAAAGTTTAATTTAGACAATTTAAATTTCAAACCCTAGAATTTTACAAGTTTAAAATCCAACCCTATACTAATATAATATTACAAGATTAATATCTATATATGTATAACTTAAATGCTAGTCTTACCGTTAGTAGGCCTCATTCACAAAGCCGGACTATAAAGTGGGTATAAGGTTGCAGCCTATAAAATAGCGCTTAATGGGTGTACACTCACACCCACCGCTTGCTTGATCGGTGGAGGGTCGTTAGCCGAACGGGTAGGATAGGGCAACCTCATCCTCTCATTAAAAGTATAATATGAAATATAAAGTAACTACATGTTTTCTTAAACTTTCCCAATCTTAGTTACTTTAGGAAAAGTGAATTGATGCAATCCCATGAAATTACACTTTGCACCTTGCTAAGAAGTTAGTGGAGCGTGTGTGGTTTACCGACACACTAATTGGTTCTAAGCGAAGGTGGCAAAGGGTGATTCATTGTTTATCATAGTTCGATGGAGCGTGTGTGGTTTACCGGCACATCGAATAGGTGATCGTTACAATGAAGGCACCATGTGAATTTGCATGGTAATTCACACCCGCTTTGTGATCCTCGGTATCCCAGTCACAAACAAGAGGGGCATATCGAGATTTAAACATGCCATTGAAAATGTTCAATGAACCTCATCCAAACCTAGGAATTCTCAATACATTTAGGACCTAAAGTTATGTTTTTCATGGTGGAGAATTAGTGAATCGTCATTCACTTACCTTCAAATTGTTTGCATATTAGATTACGACATCCCTTTTCTAATGTGTAAATATTGTTGTTGGATCCTAGCCCTAATTTTTCTAATTGGGTGATAATTAGGGATTCACATTCTAATCCCATCTTTGTCCTTTCTATTTATAGATGTCGAACGCTAACAATGCTGCTGCGAGTTCATTCACTTTGATGAGCCTTTGTCAAAAGGTCACCTTTGATGGAACGAACTTTAGCGAATGGATAAGATACATTCGCACGATTGCTCGCTATGAGGATAAGGAGTATGTCCTCGATGAGAAGCTCGAGAAAATCAACCTGAAATCGCTACTCCGCCGAATGACCGCTTTTGAAACTCACGAGCGTGATGCAACGAAGGTACATTGCATCATGATCGCCACAATGAACTCCGAATTCCAAAAGTCCTACGAGGACATGTATCCGTACGAAATGCACCAAGACTTATTGGAGAGATACCATCAAAACGCGAGACAAGAGCGTTATGAGATTTTCACTAACATGATTTCCGCTAAGATGGATCATGGAGAGTCTCTTACCGTGCACCTGTAAAAGATGCAAAGGTATGTCGACCGTTTTCGCAAGTTAAATGTTGACTTTGGGGAAGACTTGGCGATCGACATGGTGCTTCACTCTTTGCCTCCAAGTTACAATCAATTTAGGATGACCTATCACATGAACAAAGAAGAGGTCACCCTAAGCAAACTCCAAGGTCTCTTGAGGGTCGCTGAGAGCAACTTCAAGGACAAGTCTGTTGCACCAACTCCCAATCCGCC